ATGTTCAAAATCACTAACTATCAGGGAAATGCAAATCAAAACTACAATGAGATATCACCTCACGCCCGTCAGAATGGCTATAATTAACAAGACAGGTAACCTACTATTAAATCACATCTAATGTATTTTTCACCTCAGACTTCTTGAGAAGTTTGATATGGGTGTTTTTTATATCTTCAATGTCTGCTTAACTTTTTGTGATAGAGTACAAAACATTTTTATGGAATATAGTTTTAACATCCACTAATTCTGGTATCTGTGTCAGTTTTGGTTGGTTTCAATTGGTTGATTTTTTTTTTTCTTCCTCATTATGGATTGTATTTTTCTGCCTTGTTTGCACGCCTGATAATCAGACATTGTGAATTTTACCTTAGGCACTGGGTAGTTTTTGTAGTTATTTGCAAATAGCTGGAATCTTTTGAGTCTTGCATTTAAAGTTTGTTAGGTGGGACCAGTGCAACATAGAGTCTAGGGCTAATCTATAAAACTATAACGTAGATTTTGTCTTAATTATTCACTGTTTTATTTTATGATTTCATCATGAGTTAGTTTGCTGTCTCATGTTAAAATTTAAATATGTAGTTATCTACATACTTGTTAAAAGCTTAGTATGTTCCAGGCACTGTTCTAAGTGTTTTTATGTGTATTAACTCACTAATCCTCATAACAATGCTGTAAAGTAGATTCTAATATGCTGATGTTATACATGAGGAGAATGAAGCACATAGAGGTTAGGTGACTTGCCTAAGGTTACTCAGCTTGTAAATAACACAGCTAGAATTCAGGCTCAGCTAGTCTTGCTCTGTAATTCATCCTCTGAATTCCTACCATCCTAAATACTTGACAAACAGTGCAGGATAAACTCTGTGAAAAGGAGCTCCATGAGTTTTTTATTAGCTTTGTCCCCCCTCCATTGAGGTGGAATTTTATATTTCTAGTATAGTATACATATCTTGTATATTTCTAGTATATTTTAATTGTGTATTTCAGAAGATTCAGCACATTGAATTACTTGTAGGTTTATAAGTGAGGTGGGAACCATCCAAGGGTGAAAAGCATTATCCTTACATCTTTAAAGTCAGTGATCTCTGTCAAGGGACCATCAGGAACTCACGTATAGCTAAACGAGTTTGTTTATTATTCATTGCAGTAAGGAAGAACTTATACCATGGGGAATGGTGGGGATCTCAGTAAGTGGGTGTTAGAAAGGACTTAATATGGGGTTTAGGTTTGTCTGGTGATTTGGGAGAGGTTTCTAGGAAGCAAGGCTTTCCTCTGGATTGAGTGCTGTCAGGAAGGAAGTGGGGCAAGTTTGTGTGGGTACCTTAATCTTACCTAGAGGACTGGAAGAATGAAGCAGGGCCAAAGCTGTGACTGGAAAAGGAACAGCATTCACTCAGCCAGAATAGGGGAATGTTTGGTCATTTTTGTGGTTTGGAAAAATTTCATAATTTGTCTATGTTCAGACATGATTACAGAGTGGTTTTGTGTTTGTCTTGATCCCTTATCGTCACAGAGTGGCCTCGTCTGATGTTGGTATTCTGTGAAATTATGTTCAACAGAATCTCAAGGCCTTGCTGTGTGTGCCAGGACAGTTCCTAGCTGTTGGGCTCCTTTTGTTTTTCTCACTAACTTAATTTTTTCACTTGTAAACTAGGTTCATTGCAGGAAAAAAGAAGTGAGAAAACATACATAAGCCAAAAGGAAAAACTTTAAACTACTTAGAGAGAAACATGAAACAAGATTTAAACTACCTAATATTTTGTTGAATATCTTCGCAGACATTTTTATCCTTATTTGTACATAAAATACTTTATAAATGTGAAGTTATATTATTTGTATATTTTTTTATCCTAGGGATTTATTGTGACTGTCATTTCATTGCAAGTATGTGGCTGTTGTGCAATAGAGAATATTAGGGTTAGTGTCATTGGAGTTGTGATCCTATGTCATCCTTATAAGTGTCATATAGTGTTCAGTAATCAGTATTCAGTAATCTTAATATCTATCTCTAGGCTTTTTAAGTGCATACGTCTTTATATGTATGTTTATGTACAAATAAATGTACAATATAGCATACACAATTAAAGAAATTTATTATTATAGGCAAGAGTGAGAGAATGCATTTGTTATAAGCTAGATCAAGAAGACATTGATGTTGGTAACTATCTGGTTCTAGTGTTTAAGTATTAAGTACCTATTCACTATGAGGATATGGAAGACAGACTATGAGTCCTGGCATTTGAGGAGTGTACAGTGTCATTCATTATAAGCATTTCAGAATGTTAATTTCTCAGTCTTTTTTTTTTTTTTAAAGATTTTTTATTTTATTTATTTTTCCCCCCCAAAGCCCCAGTAGATAGTTGTATGTCATAGCTGCACATCCTTCTAGCTGCTGTTTGTGGGACACGGCCTCAGCATGGCCGGAGAAGCGGTGCGTCGGTGCACGCCCGGGATCCGAACCGGGGCCACCAGCAGCGGAGCGCATGCACTTAACCGCTAAGCCACAGGGCCGGCCCTCTCAGTCTTTATTACAGTAATTGAAATAGATTATCTCTACATGACATCTGAAGAAGTTACAGAATAACGCGTGTGATTTGCTGTGGCATTGTAATAAGAACATGTTTTTCAACACAGATTTTAATAAAATGGTTAGTGTTCAGTTTAAGTGCACGTACATCTTGTCAGTGTCTTCCTATATACAATCTTTTTGAAATCTAGGTGGAAAGCAGTGTTTGTATGTCTCTGCATACCTAAAAAACATAGATAGTCAAAGTAAGTCTCTTTACTTTAGCTCATTCAATTTACTTGCATTAGGTGAATAAGGATAACAGTCAAACCTTGTATATAATAAAAAACTATTGTATAAGAACTTGTTAGCTGTATATTAACTTTAGTAAATACTTTCAAATTTTCATCTGAAGATGTAAAGCCATTTCAGATGTCATTTTATCATTACAACAATCTTATTGAAATAGAAACATTCACCCTCTTTCTCAGGCATTAGTTAAATGTGTCTACATTTAAAACGTATCCTCTGTCCTTTTTTCCTGTCTTTCCCAGTTGTCTTGGAAAAAAATGGCTTATCTCTTGCTTTCGCTTTTACCTCTTTTCTCTTTATTCCACCTAGAGCCTCCAAAAGCTCTCAATTATAATTGGGTAAATAGAAGAGTTAGTTTTAGTGTCAAATTAGTACAGAGGAAAATAAAAGTTACAGTTTTTGAATAGAAAACTAATTCTTTTTTGTTTTAGTGCTTTAATTTTAAGCTTTCTTTCTTTTTTTTTCAATTATTTTATTGAGATCATGATGATTTATAACTGTGTAATTTCGGGTGTACATTCTTATTTATCACTTTCTGTGTAGACTTCGTTGTGCTCACCACAGTAGTCTAATTTTTATCCATCACCATACGTATGTACTTTTGCCCACCCTCAGTCCCCTTCCCCTCTGGTAACCACTAATCTGAGAACTAGTATTTCTAATCATCTGTTTGCATTTTCAATATACTGTTTGTGCTCAGATCTGGAAAAGGATTTAAAGTACTTGACTTAGAGCTCTTGACAAGTTCCAAAAGTCCCTTTTAGAAAATATTGTAGAAATCTCTACTTACCTCTTATATCTTCCTCTAATTAAGATTTTGCTTCTTTTTTTATTTTTATTTTTATTTTTTTTTTTTGTGAGGAAGATCAGCCCTGAGCTAGCATCCGTGCTAATCCTCCTCTTTTTGCTGAGGAAGACCGGTTCTGAGCTAACATCTATTGCCAGTCCTCCCTTTTTTTTTTCCCCAAAGCCCTAGTAGATAGTTGTGTGTCATAGTTGTACATCCTTCTAGTTGCTGTACGTGGGACGCGGCCTCAGCGTGGCCGGAGAAGCGGTGTGTCGGTGCGCGCCTGGGATCCGAACCTGGGCTGCCAGTAGCGGAGTGCACGCACTTAACCGCTAAGCCAGGGGGCCGGCCCATGCTTCTTTTTTTAGCCATAGCATTCAAGTTTGAATTATTATAACTTGAATACTTAAAACAGTTTCAATGATAACGTTATATTAAGTAACCTTTAAAATTAACATTTAAAATTCATTTTTTTATAAGTTGAAGGTTTACTGTAATATAAATTATGGTAGATTATATTTGTATATTTAAACTTGTGAACATTAGTAAAGACTTTTTTTTTTAGTGTCATATGCCATGCTAGGAAGAGGGCAGTATCCCTGTCTTCGGATACTTTCTGATCTATTCGACATTGGAAAGATTGTGTTTGCAATGACTGCAGTATAAGGCAGACTGAGATGCACTAGGTTTCAAAACGTTGTATAGAAATACTAGAGATTGAATAATTAACACTTTTGGATCAAGAAAGGCATTATGTTATAGGAATTAAGGGCAACATATTAAACGGTAGCATTCCTTTTTGTTTAAATCTAGAATTAAAGTTATAGGAGTGTTAGGCAAAATTGTATTCAAAAGTTCTTTTATGTTAAAAAGTAGATATTTTCTTTTAATTAGTATTTAATTATTTTCAAGTTATCTCATATTCCATTCCTTAAAAGTATATTATAACTGCTTTCCCTTCCCCATTTTTTCTTTTTTTTTTGGCAGCTTTTCACAGATGGAATCACAAATAAACTTATTGGCTGTTACGTGGGTAATACAATGGAGGATGTAGTCCTGGTGCGAATTTATGGCAATAAGACTGAGTTGTTAGTTGATCGAGATGAGGAGGTGAAGAGTTTCCGAGTGTTGCAGGCTCATGGCTGTGCACCGCAACTCTACTGTACCTTCAATAATGGACTGTGCTATGAATTTATACAGGGAGAAGCATTGGATCCAAAGCATGTCTGCAACCCTGCTATTTTCAGGTACCTTTCTTTTTCTAAATAATTTTTCCTTTTGAAAAATAAGAGTATTAAGTGCACTAAGGAAATATTTTTAAAAATTCCCTTTTCTTTCTCTGAGCAACTATTTGGTTAACTTAGAAACTTTCTTTAGTTAGGGTTTTGTTTTGTTTTTGCTAAGGAAAAAAAAATTCCTTTTTATTTGCCATTCTCATTGTTGACTCTTTGCAAAAGAAAAGGCTGCAAGAAGTTTTGGATTAGCCTGCTGGAGAGGGTCATGGCTTCCCCTTAATTTTGTAAAATATGCTTGAATCAAAGCATTACATATTTCTTATTACTAAGTTTTGTTACTCAATTGCTCACATTGTCAGAGTTCTTGCTTACTAAGATTCTTTTAATTATGTTAACACTTCTTTGTTACTCTTTAAACTTTTCATTATTTAATTCAAAGAATTATGTTTTCTGTAAGAATAATGTCATGCATATGCAAATTGCTATCTTTTAAAATTCTCTTTCTACTCTTGAAAACTCTAACAAATGGACTTGATTTGAAAACAGCAAGTTCATTCATAATTTAAACCAGAAGTTTTCAAACATTTTGGTCTCAAGACCTCTTTACAACTCTTAAAGGTTATTAAGGACCCAAAGAGCTTTTGTTTATGTGAGTTTTATTTATCAATATTTACCATGCTAGAAAGTAAAACAAATTTTTTAGAATACAAGAATATCAAGTGCACATTCTCTTAGCTGTCAGCCTGATGACATCATCACACCACTTCATGTAGCTTCTTTAAAACGTCACTCTACCCTCGTGAGAGAATGAGTGAAAAAGGTAAATAATATTTTGGGAAAATAGTTTTAACCTCACAAACCTTCTGAGTCTTGGGTCTCCAGGGATACTGGATCATATTTTGAGGTTTGCTAAGTTAACACACTGATAAAGATGGAATGGACCAGTATCATTTACCTATTTTAAACTTGTTTCAAACAATATTTTAAAATATTTTGGCATAGAAATCTGCTCAAACCTTAGTTTTAACCATCAGATATAGTCTCTTCCCATAACTGCATGAGTCTACTGTGTTGAATCTGTTGAGAGATGCTGATTAATAGATTTATGTTTATTCTTTTGTGTCAAATGTTTTTGTGGTCTTCAGGCTTGTGTGTGTATATATATATATGTAAATTTATTTATTTACTTATAAATTCTCAGTCTTGTTCACAGTGGTTGAGAAATATCCATACAGTAGTCCCTGCTTATCTGTGGTTTCACTTTCCAAGGTTTCAGTTACCTGTGGTCCCAAAATATTAAATGGAAAATTCCAGAAATAACTCGTAAGTTTTAAATTGTGCGCTGTTTTGAGTAGTGTGATGAAATCTCACACCGTCCTGCTCTGTCCCACCTGGGACATGAATCATCCCTTTGTCCAGCCTATCCACGCTGTATATACTACCTGTTATATGCTACCCACCTGTTAGTCACTTAGTAGCCATCTAAGCCAACTTTATTATTATTTATTGTTGTTAATCTTTTGCTCTGCCTAATTTATAAATTAAACTTTATCATAGGTCTATATGTAAAGGAAAAAAATGTAGTATTTTCCAGGGTGTGGTACTGTCCTGTGGTTTCAGGCATCCACAGGGGTTCTTGGAGTCCCTGTGGATAAGGGAGGACTACTGTTTAACAGGATTAAAAATGAATAGATGCATAAATTAGGCCAAAGGAAAAGCTGGAATTAGATTCAGATACAAAAAATATATTCCATAAAGTTGTTAGAGAAGGGCTGTATGAGTTTCCTAGTAACTAAAGCAGGGAGGAAAATATTAATTTTAAAAGTCAGTGTCCAAAAGATTTAAGAAAAAACTTGCTTAAGGATAATGCCGTTGTTACCAAACCAGATTCGTTTTGTCCTGCCACACAATTATGTCAATCCCCATGATGATGACTTTGCAAAAAGAAAGGATTTAATCACAAGGGAGCCAAGCGAGGAGGCAGGAGAATCAGTCTCAGATCTGCCACCTCGAAAGTGGGGACTCTGATATTTATGGGATAAGGGGTCAGGGCAGTCTGAAGTGTGGGAATAGATAATTGGAAGTAAGGAGAAGTGAGATAATTGATGATCTACGCAAGTGTGGTCAAGTTTCATGCCTCTTCATGGGGCGCGTGTTCACAAAGTGGTGGTGTCACTGTGATCTGAGGGTGGAGTTTTTAGCTCCTTGACATCAGGAGTTTGTCTGTCGGACACTTGCACGGGCCCACTTGCTGGGTTGGTGTTCTCGACCTGCCTGAACTGGACAAGGGGTCGACTCTCAGTTCCTGGAAAACTTAAGCACTCCACCTGTTACCATGGTGACCCCAGCCTCAGAGGTGTTATCTATAGGGTGGGTTTTAGTAATGCATTATCTGACTACTTTTGCAAACAAACAACTGAGTATAGTTAAAGCAAGTTGGCCCTGGGTTTCACCATTGTTACTGGTGTAGCAGTCTTAATTAAGCCTTTGTAAAACCCACACTTTGATACATTTCACATGAATATTCCTAAACTGTCTTTAATACACCAAATTTAAACTTTCAGTTGAATTGCTAATCATACTGTCTGCCCGTGAGAAGTTCATATTCAGGAGGTTTTCAACTCCTTTTACTCTATAGTCACATGATAGAAACTGGAGGCCTAGGGCAGGTTTTTTCTTCTCCAGTGATAGTGGCAAGTTATGAAATCAGAAGCCATGTGAAATTCTATATTAGGCAATATAGCTCTGTCGCTAGGTATACTGTGGAGCCCGATTGCTGTAGTTTTATGAGCTGTGTGAATTTGGATGTAGTATTTAATCTTTAAATGTGCCTCCATTTCCTCATCTAAAATATGGGAATAATGTACTTACGTCTAAGGTTGTTGTAAGGATTAAAGTTGTTAATATATGTAAAAAGCTTAGAGCAGTGCCTGGCTGGGCCGGCCCCGTGGCTTAGCGGTTAAGTGGGTTAAGTGTGCGCACTCCGCTGCTGGCCGACGCACTGCTTGTCCGGCCATGCTGAGGCCGTGTCCCACATGCAGCAACTGGAAGGATGTGCAGCTATGACATACAACTATCTACTGGGGCTTTAGGGGAAAAAAAAAAATAAATAAAATTATAAAAAAAAAAAAGAACAGTGCCTGGCATATGTTAGGCATTATGTAAGCGTTAGCTTTTAACTTTTTTTTCCTTTTAAGACTTTGCACACTTTACTCGACTTCTACAGAGCTTCTGACAACTTAGATGTTAACTAAAGAAAGTTATTAAAATACTACTTAGGCAAAATATAGTGGATATAACCAATCTATTGGCTTTATTATGCTTTTAGAAACATATTTTTTGAATTTTAAAATACAGACTTCTTTGCTTTTAAGAACTATTTATTATAGCATACAGTCATGTATCACTTAATGATGGGAATAGGTTCTGAGAAATGCATCATTAGGCTGTTTTGTCATTGTGTGAATATCACTATTTCGTCACTGTGTGAACATCGTAGAGTGTACTTAGACAAATCTAGATGGTATAGCCTACTACACACCTAGGCTGTATGGTACTAATTTTATGGGACCATTGTCATATACGCAGTCTGTCTTTGACTGAAATGTCGTTATGTGGCTTGTGACTGTATAGTGTTCCTTGAGGTGTATGATAGCAGCATATGGATGTGGCATAGCAAATATTTATTGCCACTAACCCCCACTCCTTTGTGACAGACAATACTAACTAGTCTTGGAACTCTTTCTTCCTGAACCTAGATGAGACCTCAGAATCTCTCAACTAAGTGATTTTAGGTAATCACTACCCATTTGTTCTCCCTTGTTTTGGTTTTTATTTTAACTTCCTTGAAGTGACCATTTTATATTAAAAATTGAAGATTTTATTTTTTAACTAATACCAACAAATAATAGTAATGGGTATATTAGAATTCTGTTAATTGGAGAAATGATATATTAAAGTGATGATAATGGTGGCTAATTCTGATATAGCACTTAATGAACTGGATACTGTTCTAAATATGTTATGTATATTAATAAATTCAACTCACAGCAATTCTAGGGGTTAGGTAATGTTATAATCCCATTGTAATAGATGAGAAAAGTAAGGTGCAAAGATTTTAAGTAATTTGCCTAGGATTGCATGACTAGTAAAAGTAACATCCCCCAAAAATAGTAATGATGAGTAACTTAACCTTTCTACTTATTCAGAAAAGAGCATAAAACGTAAAAGAAAGTAGTAAGGCCTTTGTTACACCACTTATAAAAAATAACTTACTATGAAAAATTTGTAGAATTGAATAGACTCAAGAAGAAAATGAATGCAGACTTTCCTATGTATTGATTTCTGATCATTTTCTATAATTACATAATCATTAAGCTTACTATAGAATTTCTCTTTTAACAGGAAAGCTTTTCATAATTGATCGTTTTTTTTTTTTTTGGTGAGGGAGATTGGCCATGAGCTAACATCTGTTGGCAGTCTTCCTCTTTTTGCTGAGGAAGATTGGCCCTGAGCTGACATCTGTGCCCATCTTCCTCTATTTTGTATACAGGATGCCCCCACAACATGGCTTGATGAGCGGTGCGTATGTCTGCAGCTGGGATCCGAACCCATGAACCCTGGGCTGCCGAAGCAGAGCACATGAACTTAATCACTATGCCACCTGGCTGGCCCCCATAATTGATCTTTTTAAGTAACCTCAAATGTTGATTGAGCCTTTAGATCAAAGTCCACAGTACTCTCTTGCTTTGGCTCATTCAGACATAGCTTCTTGCCTATGTTATGATTATAATACAGAATATCTACTTTGAGTATAAAAGACATTAGAATATATTTATGTTTAATCTAGTCTAGGGGAGGAAAAAAATTCCAACAGTTCCTCCTCTTCCAGTAATTTACAGTCTGTGACAGACAATAACTTTGGACAAAAAATAAGCTGATTAGTATCACAGGAGAACAGAAGAGATTTTAAAAAAACGTACAGATTACTGTGGTACAGTTGGGAAATTAGG